CAGATGAGCAGTTAGGAGCTAGCAGTCCTGGATTGTGAGAGGGATGTCCAACTGACAGGAATTGGGCCTAAACTGGCAGTCAAATATCCATTGAGGGGTCCCAGATTGGAGAGGGTGCAAGCTGGGCTGAGGGACTACCTTTCCACCCCAGTGCATGAATTTCATGCACCAGGCCTCTAGTATTATGGTAAAAAAATGTAGTGGTATAATATTGTAAATGATGTTGTCCAAACATTCAGGTTGACTGTAATTATAAAAAGATGAGGAGGGACTAAATCTTTACTTTTGTTATGAAAATATTTAAATTTTTAGATACTTGTATGCATGTATATAAGCATAACCAATGGATGAAAAACTGTGGTGATGGAGAGAATGTATGGGGGAGGGGGGCACAATGGTAAGATATGCACTCATATAATACCTTAATAAAAAATAAATGAAAAAAAATCTTAAAAAATAAAATAAAATAAAGTTAGATACTCCATCAAATGACTTTTTTTTTTAACTCTTTTCCAAGTCTCCAAACTGAAAAACAATAAGCCCACTTGAAATTATAGCTAAGTATAGATGTAAATATCAGTCTTACTATTTACATTGTTTTTTATTAGCAAAAAGTACAATCTTGCTTGCTTTTTAAAAAATATACTTCTTTATTGATTTCAGAGAGGAAATGAGAGGGAGAGAGAAATAGAAACATTAATAAAAACATGATGAGAGAATTACTGATCGTCTGCCTCCTGCATGCCCCCTACTGGGAATCAAACCTGCAACCTGGGCATGTGCCTTGACCAGGAATCAAACTGTTACCTCCTGGTTCATAGGTCCATGCTCAATCACTGAGCCAAGCCTTCCTGGTTATTAGGCCCTTATTAAAGATAAGCTTATCACCCTTGCTTGCTATATCTATATATCTATATCTATATCTATATCTATATCTATATCTATATCTATCTATCTATCTATCTATCTATCTATCTATCTATCTATCTATCTATCTATCTATCTATTAGGAGCCCAATGCATGAATTCATGCACCTTGAAAGGAACTGTGGGCTGTGAGGTTGCAAGGCTGTGGTAGGTACAGGGGCGAGTCTTGGCCCATCATCCATGCCCCCACCCAGCTCTTCCCAACATGTCCCCAATCAAACCTGTCTGCCTGCAGCCCCACTCCCGCTGCCTCGACTCCCACATACTGATGGCACTGCTCACACCTGCTGAAAGCACAATTGGGGCCAGCACTAGCAGCGGGTTTGAGCAGCAGCTGTGGCCCCAATCGACCCTCAAGAGCAAGGTTAGGTGGAGAAGCCCTCAGGAGAGATGAGGGCCAACATTGCCACATGCACCCACTGATGGCGCAAAGCGATTAGGACTGGTGCCGGGTACCAGCAGCCGGTGTGAGTGGTGGTTCTGGTGCCAGCAGCATATGGGAGCAAAGAATTTTTAGTATTCACCAGAAGCTCGATCTGATGACAACTACTGGAAAACCATCTTGGTCTGGTACCCTACTCATCTGCTACACCATCCCACCACAGCTGATGCCTGCATGTTCCATGCATTCCCCTGGTGGCCATCGCATGTCATAGCGACCAGTTGTTCGGTTCCAGTTGTTCTACCATTCAGACTATTTGCATATTAGCCTTTTATTATATATATATATATATATATATATATATATATATATAGAGAGAGAGAGAGAGAGAGAGAGAGAGAGAGAGAGAGAGAGAGAGAAACATCAATTTGGTTGTTTCACTTATTTATGCATTTATTGGTGAGTCTTGTATGTTTCCTCACTGGGGATTGAACCCACAACTCTGGTTCATGGAGACAACACTGCAACAAACCAAAACACCTTGCCAGGGCTTGCTTGCTTTTTTTATAGGATCTATCCATTTAGTAAGCCTTAATGAAGATGATAATATGGTAGGACTTAGGCTATATACTTTTCCCAATGATAATATGGTAGGACTTGGGCAATATAATTTTCCCATTTGGATTTTGTTTTTTATTAATTTTCTCTAATAATTTTGATAATGTCTTTTTTTTTCTCTCCCTTGAAGTAACTTGGTCTAATATCATTTTCATTTTTAACAATGTTGTTAAAAAGTTTATTTATTTATTTATTTATTTATTTTTGCCAGTCACTGATATAGAAGGATTTATTTAATCCTAATTGTAATTCTGTTGACATTTTAGCAGCCAGCCTATTCATAATGAAGTAGCACAAAATCTGGAGTATCCTATATTTGAAAGACATATAACCAACCATTTAAATATATCTGTTGCTTTGCACATTTACAAATTTTGAACATCGAGGGCTAATCTCATCGTTTTGTTATATTAAAACTTTCTTAAATATATATAGGTCTTTGTGTTTCAAAGCTCTTATTTTTAGTTTCCAAAATTATGATTAAGTTTTGAATATTTTCACTTTTAAAAAGTCAGGTTTATTGAAGTATAATTAACATGGAGTATAATTAACATTTCCCCTTTTCAGCATATAGTTCTAAAAGTTTTGATAATCACCTACTATCACGTAACCATCACCAATACCTATTGTATTAATTGATATACTTGCATTTAAATATTCATTCACAGTTGAAAGCTATCTGAGTTATTTCCAGTTTGTGGCAATGATAAGTAAAGCTACTATATATGTTTATATCTAATTTTTTTTAATGAACATACACTTTTTTTTAAATGTTTTTGTTAATTATTGCCTGAGGATATATATTTTTTTCCCATTGCTATTCAGGAGTGGAAAAGAGGGAAGGAGGGGAATAGGGACAGAGAAGAGAGAGAGAGAAAAAAAAAACATAATCTGAGAAAAAGCCATCGATTGGTTGCCTCCTGCCTGCACCCCAACCAGAGCCAAGGTTGGGACGTACAACCCAGGTACATGCCTTTGAGAGTCAGACTTTCAGGCCGACACTGTAATGACATGACCATGGCTAATGAACATACATTTACATTTATCTTAGATAAGTAGCTAGAAGTAGATAACTGAACCCTATAGTAAGTGCAGATTTAACTTTGTAGAAAACTGTTATCTTATTTTCTCAGGTAGCTGTGCCATTTTCCATTCCAGTCAGCAACATTTGAGAGTTCTAGTTGTTCAACATTCTCGTACTTATTAGGTATTGTCAGTATTTTTTAAACTAGACATTCTAATAAGTGTGTAGATGTACTTAGTTATTGTTTTAATTTCAGTTTTTCCCTAGTGACTATGTTGAATATCTTTTTATATTAGTCACCCATATATCTTCCTTGATGACATGCCTGTTCAAACACATTACCCAATTTTTAATCAGGTTGTTTTCTTATTATTGACCTTGGAGAATTCTTTATGTGTTCTGGATATGAGACTTTTATCAGCTATGTGTTTTGCAATTATTTTCTCCCTGTCAATTTGTCTTTTGTTTTTCAAAGAGTTAGTCTCTACACCCCTTTTATTAAACTTCAATTTTAGTTTATCCTTTATCAGTTTCTAAGCCCTCAGGTTAACAATCTGCACCAATTCCTAATGAACAAATTATAACGTAAGTTTTGGAATCTGATAGGGATAGAAGATATCCAACTTGAAAGACAACATATTTCTATATATGATTTATTTGAATACTATAACAATTAGGAATTCTCTTGGCTGAAATTAGTAAAAAGTTGAACTTTAGTAACTTAAATATAGGACTATTTTTCCTGGTTGCAAGTTGAGAGAAAAGCAGCTACTTGCCAGGATTCATTATATCCACACTTAGGACAAGAAGTAGAGAAGGGAAGAGAACAGAACTTGTACTAAGAGAGCAAAACTTTCACAGAAGTCTCTCCTCTACTTTCAGTTGAATTTTCATTGGACAGAACTGGGTCATGAGCCAGCAATGCTCAACAGAGCAGTTTGGGTTAGGAGGGCCTATCTAGTGTCTTCCTCACAACAGCAATTTTAAAAATTTCTTTAATATATTTTTATTTATTTCAGAGAGGAAGGGAGAGGGAGAGAGAGACAGAAACATCAATGATGAGAGAGAACCATTAATCTGCTGCCTCCTGCATGCTCCCTACTGGGGACTGAGCATGCAACCCGGACATGTGACCTGACGAGGAATCGAACCAGTGACCTCTTGTTTCATGGATCAATGTTCAACCACTGAATCACATCAGCCGGCCCATCAATTCTTTTCATGAAGTGTGGATGAACTTCATGTCCTAGGAAATTTCTTCCCAAAATATCAGTGCCAAATAATGTAGAAAACATTAAATAATAATAATAATAATTATCCCAATTATATTAATGTAAGGCTTAAACATAGATCTATTAGTCAGCATAACCTTTATTCTTTCTTCAGCATCATTTGCATCCAGATTCTACTCCCTTCTTACTATTTCACCTTAAAAAGAAATGGTAATTTGAGCCCATAGTTGGCACTTTGCTCTACGTTACTAGTTTTAAAGACCTCTTACTATACTTGTCTTCCTTCTGAATACATTTTTGTCTATGAATTCTGAGTGTGTCAAGAATAATAACATACCTGCCAACACGCAAAGAAAAGATAGTTGTCCTGGTTTTGTGGAATATTGATTTGGAAAACTATTTTGAAAGTGTTACATAGATTCAAGAAGTACATTTTTATCACATATTTTACTGATAGAGCTATATATAATGGTAAAATATCTTTACCAACAAAGTAATTTTTATAATATATAGAAGAATAAATGTGAGTTTCTATATTTGGTAAATATGGATAGCCAAATATAAAACCTATGAATAAAAGTGATTGCCTCCTCTGCCCCAAACTCCATTCTCTACCCCCTAACCCTCCCCTCCCAAAAAAATAAAATAAAAATAGGAGGGATTTTTGGCCCAAGGCATCAGGATAATTGATTCAGACCTATTTTACTTTGTGATAGGGAACTTTTGTACTGAAATGAAAATGTATCATATTGTCTGCAATGAAAGAATTACTATTCTTAATGTTCTTACACATTCTTTTATTATGTGAACATTTTAGGTGTATCAATATATGCATGAAACGATAACTGTTAATGGCTGTCCCGAATTCCGTGCCAGGGCCACAGCAAAGGTAAGGCTTGAGTAATTTTAAAAATATACTTAACCCCAGTGATCTAGTAATTGATTGTGCGCGTGTGTGTTTCAGGTATTCTCGTGTGTACACTGTAAGAGAATTTAGACATCAGTGGCAGCCCAGAGTCTAGAACCAGTACTACTTCCCAGGTAAAAATCCTAATGGAAAAATTGAACGTTTCTGCTGCTTCTGTAGCTTAAGAAAGGAGAATGATTTAATTAAACTCACTAAATGTCCATTTGGCACAAGCAAATCTACTCACTTGTTGTATGAAATAATACCTGGTTTTCTAACACATTCCTCTGATCCAAAAGAACCTGCTCCTTGTTCAGTGCAAGAAGATTTATTTAATCAAGTATGAAGATCTGACTTAAGTTAATCATTGAGAGAACCCACCTGATAACCAACGATGTAGGATTCGTCCATGTATTCAGCTGGGCAGTGGGAAGCTGAAAGAATGTGATGCTGACCTAAAGGGAAGGCCTGTCACCTTTTGTGGTAGTCACCACATTTGCTCTGTAAAAACTTGAATCCAGATATTGCAGAGGCCCTACTAATGGAAATGTTATAGCAATAGAATCAGGAAATTATCTGGAAAATAAATCATTAGGAAATGATAGTTAAAAACTAAAATCACTAATGCAGTTCTTAGTTTCAAATACAGGAATATTGCAATGCATACACACTTGCTTTTTAAAAGCTTTTCTGTTTTTAATCGTGTGTAAGAAGAACTGGTGAAAAAATTAGAATTTTTCATTTAAATTTTTTTGTGTTACATCACCTCTTATTTGATTTCCTTTTTGTAACTGAACACGATAGATTTGTCAGTGTGTTTGTTTGTTTTTTTAACCCAAACAAAAAGAGGATACTATTATCATTACATCATGCTTTGCTTGTACTGAAGTGGAACACACACAGAAAAAATGATCCCTCTATGGTTTAATTAAGGGGAAAGTGAATTATGTAATGTTTTACCATTCTCATTTCTTATTCATGTAGAACAGCAGGATAGCAGCATAATGTTGCAATAGCCAATATTTTCTGGTTGTTTCTGGGCTGTCTGCATTGCATCCATGTCAGCCATTAAATCTATGCATGACAACAAGGTTTGCATGAGCAAATGCATGAAGCTAAAAACATTATTTCCATATCATTCACTATCTTTCACTAAATGCAGACAGTAGCATAATGCTGAATTGATGTGATAATGCTGTGTGTGGAAAAGAATGTACAGTAGTTGCAAATCAATATTTTTATAGTGTTGAGTGAATCACTTATAGTAGGCATCGAATCAACTATGCTTAAGAAAGGTTAATGGAGGTGGAAAATAAGCAGGCAGAGAATCTTTTCTTGTTAGGAACTACATCATTGCTCTAATTTTATTTCCATGAAGGGTTGGAACTAATGGTAAGTTGTTTCCTTCAACTTATTTTCAAAAATTAATAGTAATGAATTAAAAAATATGATAATATCCATATTAAATGATATTTTGTACAGCTAGGTATAATACCATAGACTTTTCATTGTGCCTACATTGCTAATACAGTAGTTGAAATATTAATGTAAAATGTCAGGGGATAAAACCTGTGCCAGAGAAGAGGACCTCTCAAAATAATCCTATATAATAGAAGGCTAATATGCAAATCAACCAAATGGCAGAATGACCCGTCGCTATGACATGCACTGACCACCAGGGGGCAGATGCTCAATGCAAAAGCTCCCCCTGGTGGTCAGTGCATTCCCACAGTGGGAGCACTGCTCAGCCAGAAGCCAGGCTCAAAGTCAGTGAGTGGAGGTGGCGGGAGCCTCTCCCACACCCATGACATTACTAAGAATGTCCAACTGATGGCTTAGGCCCTCCCCACGAGAGCTCCTGGATTGCAAGAGCACACAGGCTGGGCTGAGGGACCCCACCCCCATGTGCATGCATTTTATGAAATATTGATGAGAAATAATCTGTTTGAATCTATTATTTCACTATAGCTTTTATTTTTTTAGATATCCCCACAAAAACACCAAATTTGCTAAGGCAGTCTTCCAATAGCAAAATTATAGATATATTTACCAACTTTATACATTTAAGTGTTCCTCAGTGTAATGAATAAATATTTATGAAGATTTGTGTGCAAGCACCAGGTTAGACTAGTGTCATACAAAGAAGTGGAAGTCACAAACTCTGCCCTTCAGGTGCCCATAGTCACCATACATACATAATAATTATAGTATATGTGCCATATGTAGGTAGCATATGGACCAATCCTTTCTGGAATGCAAGAATAGGAGGTATTCCATATGAGGTAATTGGGAAAGATATTTCTGTACAAGGCAAATTATTATCATTATGGATAATGTCTAGAAAGCTGGAAATAGCTGAACTTGTCTTTACCAAGGGAAAGGAATCAAAAATGACATCTAAATGAAGAAAGCCTCTCCGTTTTGTGCTCTTTCCTTCACAGGAAAAAATGTTATGAAAATATGAGGAGTTGCCTGACCTACCCACTGCAAAATATAGGGTTAGCCTTCCTTCCTTCCTTCCTTCTACTACCAAATTACCATCTTGTCTTCCAGGCAACAGTTGCAGCTTTTGCTGCTAGTGAAGGCCACTCCCACCCTCGGGTAGTCGAACTGCCAAAGACTGATGAAGGCCTTGGTTTTAACGTGATGGGAGGAAAGGAGCAAAATTCCCCCATTTATATCTCTCGCATCATTCCTGGAGGGGTGGCAGAAAGACACGGAGGCCTCAAAAGAGGAGACCAGCTGCTATCAGTGAATGGAGTGGTATGTTCATAACATAACCAGAAGTTTTCTCTTTAAGCACATTCTCTCTCCCTTTCTCCTCCTCTTCCCCTGCCCCCCAGCACTGCTGTTACTGGAGTCAGTGTTGAAACCCTGGAACAAATCATAATCTTGTATCCAAACAGCTTTCTAAGTATTGATGGATATTAAACTAGCAAAAATAGTGATTTTACAGGTTTTAAACATATTTTGTTTACCTTTTTAAAAAAAATAAATCTTTATTGTTCAGATTATTACAGTTGCTCCTCTTCCCCCCCCCCCACCCATAGCTCCTCTCCATCTGATTCCCCACCTCACCCCATGCCCTTACCCCCTGCCACTGTCTTCATCCATAGGTGTACAATTTTTGTCTAGTCTCTTTCCGCACCCTCACACCCCCACACTCCCTTCCCCGAGAACTGTCAGTCCACTCCCTTTCTATGCCTCTGATTCTATTATATTCACCAGTTTATTCTGTTCATTAGATTTTTTATTCACTTGATTTTTAGATTCACTTATTGATAGGTTTGTATTTGTTATTCATCATTTTTATCTTTATATTTTTCTTCTTCCTCTTCGTAAAGAATACCCTTCAGCATTTCATATAATACTGGTTTGGTGGTGTTGACCTCCTTTAACTTTTTCTTGTCTATGAAGCTCTTTATCTGACCTTCAATTCTGAATGATAGCTTTGTTGGGTAGAATAATCTTGGTTATAGGTTCTTTCTGTTCATCAATTTGAATATTTCTTGCCACTCCTTTCTGGACTGCATAGTTTCTGTTGAAAAATCAGCTGACAATTGTATGAGTACTCCCTTGTAGGTAACTAACCATTTTTCTCTTGCTGCTTATAAGATTTTCTCTTTGTCTTTTGTCCTTGGCATTTTCATTATGATGTGTGTTAGTGTACTCCTCTTTGGATTCCTTTTGTTTGGGGTTCTCTGCTCTTCCTGGTCTTGTACCGTATTTTCTGGGGTATAGGACGACCCCCAAATTTTACAGTTAAAATGTAGGTTTAGGCTTATATTCGCTGTATAAGACTACCCCCCACTTCCGAGGCAACACCAGTTCTTTTTTTAATAGACCGGCTCAAAAACTTAGCCAATCCAAGCAGGCTTTTATGCATGCAAATTATACATGTTCTGTACCCGAAGCTACACTGTGTTCTAGTAAAAAGCCTGCTCAGATTGGCCAGAGTCAGAGAGGCGGTCTATTAAAAAAAGAACTGGTGTTGCCTCGGAAGTAGGGGGTAGTCTTATACAGAGAATATAGGCCTAAACCTATGTTTTAACTGTAAAATTAGGGGGTCGTCTTATACGCCGGAAAAATACAGTAAGTCTATTTCTTTCACCAGGTTGGGGAAGTTTTCTGTCTTTATTTCTTTAAATAGGTTTTTAGTATTTTGCTCTCTCTTCTTCTGGCACCCCCATAATTCTTATGTCGGTATGCTTGAAGTTGTTCCAGAAGCTCCTTACACTATCTTCATGTTTTTAGATCCTTTTTGCTTTTCTGGTTGGGTGCTTTTTGCTTCTTCATAACTGTATTTCAAATCTTTCACTTGATTTTGGGATCTTCTAGTCTGCTGTTGGATCTCTATACATTATTCTTTATTTCAGTCAGTGTATGCTTAATTTCTTGTTGGTGCTTTTTCATATCCTTGAGGATCTCACTAAATTTCTCAGAGGTTTCTAGAAGATTCTTAAGTAACCTTATAACCGTGGTTTTGAACTCTATCCAATAGTTTGCTTTCCTCCATTTCTTTTATGACCTGTTTCTTTGTCTCCACATTTTTGCTGCTTCCCTGACTTGATAGAGTGGCTTTGCATGCTAGGTGTCCTATAGGGCCCACTAACCTGAGGTGGACACTCTTGGTGCAACCCTTTGTGGGCTGTGTGCATAGTCTTATTGTTGTTAAACCTTTATTGTTGTTGGTCTCACTGGGAGAAATTGACCTTCAGGAATATTGGCTGTGAGGTTCAGCTGTATCTACAATGGAAGAACTTCTGTGCTAGAGACACCTTATGGAGCAAGGCTTGCTTCAGTGGGGCACTGGTGCTCACAGAGTCTGCCCCTTGAGTGTGTCTCTTATGGATCTGAAGAGTTGTAATCTGGATGGCCTCACTATGACCACTGGGTACACTGACTCTTGGATCTCCAAGGAGGTGCAAAGTCAGCCACTGCCTCAGGCCACCTAGCAGGAGCTACAGAGATATCTACAGATTCCTTCTCTTTGTTTGGGGTTTGAAGGTGCCCAGATGAGGCCCATCTTTGAAGCAATGCAAGCTGCTCTGAAGCCTTGGGCCTTCTTTTGGAAGCTCTGGGACTCTCTGACCCAGCTACAGTTTGTTAGGTTATTTAAATTGCAAAAGGCCAGTCCATTCATATGAAAAAGCCTCTGTGCACAGCTTGGGTGGGGTTGTAAATTGGGTGGGATGGGGTCTCAGGGAATCACCAGGGTGGAGCAAACAGTAATGGCTGACTGTCAGCCCTGCCTGGAAGAGGTTCCATGTCTCTGTGTCTCGCGGCACCATGCAGGAACAATGATTGCTGCAAGTACCTCTGAGAGAAAGCCTCCCTCGAGTCCCACCTGATGCCAGACAGTCCAGTTTCTCCCTGTATGAGTCTGGGTCCCCAGACTCGCCCAGAACTGGAGTTCAGAGCAATTGGGAGTTTGTGTCTCCCTCCCGATTGAAAAAGACAACAGCATACTCAGTTGCCAGCCCTTTTCCGCCCGAGCATGCCTCCATACCTTTGCACTTCACTTCCACACCTCTGCACCTCCTCTGAGTCTCAGTGTGCTTTTCTCTTTCCTTCTAGTTGTAGAATTTTCATTCAGCCAACCTTTCCATGGTTCTGGATGATATCTGTTTTGTCTTTTAGTTGAATTTTGAAGTGGTTATGCAAGGTAGCGAGTTCAGGTGTTTACCTATGCTGCCATCTTGGTTTCTCCTGATTTTACAGTTTTTATGTCTCATTTCATTTTGTCCAGATGTGATGTATATGAACTACTTGGAAAATCATCCCAAATCGTAGAATTTCTCCCATATATACTTTAATTGACTTAATAAAGAACATAATAATTTCTCTTTATTCAATTTACTATAAGCAAATACATTTTAAAAATAAAGATAAAACTCTTCACCCTAAATTTTTAATTTTAATTAAAGAGGAAGGATAATTTTCATATACATAATAATATATATGGGAAAAGGTAATGCACAGGTAATTCTTTAAGCCAAGTTTGCAACAATAGTATAATAAAAATATGCCAGCCTCTGAATATTTGATTATATTATCTATTTTTTATATATTTATTTATTCATTTTTACATGAAATTAGAGTAAACTAAAGTAAGTAATATTTTAAAATAAAAGAAGTAAAAACATACTTTTTTTTTTTGGATACCAATACTTCCAAGTAATAATGAGTTGCTAAAAAAATAGCTTACTCTAAAATGAATAATTTTATCCCCATAACTTTTACCTACATCAAAAATAAATAAACTAAAAATACACATTTCAGAAGAATAAATAGGAACATGTCAATGATTATTTTTCTATTAATCTAAGATCTTTTTATTAAGAACTTAAGATTTTAATAAATAAAATCAATTTGTGAGCTTTTCTGTGGACACATGATTTCTGCTTAGACTATCTAAAATAAAATTCATTTTAAAATGTAATATTTTATTGGTAACTAAGAAGGGAATTATTCTGTATTTATATCTTGTGTTTTATTTCTTTTTTTTAATTTTTAGCCTGACTAGTAGTTTTATAGATCCCAAAACCATTCAACTCTGCTGGTTTCTGATGTGCTTCAAATCATCAGCCCATGGATATTATATATCATTTCAGCATTTGAATTCTAAAATTATCATTTCATTTACTTTTCTCTATGTAGCAATGCTTTGAGATGAGCTTTTTATTGACGTTTAGATAACTGTGACTTTTTCAAAACCTGTTTCAACTGATAATTTCAGAGTCAAACTCTAGTAAACTACTCAAGAGCTTGGTCATGTAATTATGTCACAAAGTAATTAATCTGTGCCTCAGAGTATGAATTCATAATTTCTCTGAGTATATCGGGTAGATAAAAAGAAGGTATGGGTTTTAAAACATGAAAAGTACAAAAAAGAAACAAAAAATATTTTAATAGTAATTGAAATTATATAAAGCAACAATAAATACATATGAAATCACTTTAATAGGTTCTTGACTTATAACTATCTGTCAAGGTGAGCTAAAAAGTCTTTATTTAACCTATACACCTGCAGAGAACACACCTGTAAGCTTTTAATAATTACTCATTCATTCCTGGCAATAACCAGGTGGGAGTGGGAGTGGTGGGTGAGGGGATTAGAGGAATGAAATCAGACACATAAGATTCTGCCAACCAGTATCTATATGATTATGGATTAATGTCCCCTAACCTTGAATTTCCTAATATGGATAAGGGGAGTAGTGACTCGAAGGGTGCTGATGAAGATTAAAATAAGACAAAATATCTGTTGAGAAGTGTCCAGTGATCATTTGGTCACACACATCTTTGATAGAAAAGGGTGGTTACCAATGCAGGTTGAAGAATGTTAGCAATTCTCCTATTATCATACTAATGTACTTGTGTTAAAAGTAAGCCTTAAACCAACTTTTACTAAACTTACAGCCATATTTTAGCAAACATTTATTAGCAAAAAAAAAAAAAAAAAAAAGCTTAATAGATTCATGCAACCTCTTTAATAAGTTTGGTGAAATCATAGGAAGGTTTACGCCACTAATTTTGCCAATGAGAACGCACTTCTGCCATATTTTTGCTAATAAGCAAAACATTATTTGTTCATTGAAATAGATATAACAAATGCTTTTATAGAAGCCATCCTCTAAAGTGTTTGCCTTTCTGATATAATGCCATCTGACCACCTTGGATTGATTAAAAAAGCTTCTAAATTTGGTGTTTAAGATATTGTACATCCATATAATTAAGCCATACATTATAAATGACCTATTTTAAAATATTTAAAAGTAACTTATATACATCTTAACAGTGTCTAATATTTATCAAATGTTCATCAAGAGCTGGTTTTCCTTCTGTCAGTGAGAAACTGCACGGCCCAGTGGGTTTCCCACAGTCACACAGAGACTGGTTAATCCAAGGCAAAGTTCCGTACAGTGTGCTTGATAATGAGTCACTCATTTCACCAATGAGAACGCACTTCTGCCGTATTTTTGCTAATAACACTCATCCAGAAGTCTTTTTAATATAATTGCAGTCAAATGGAAATATTTAATTTAAAAAATTTACTCTATATTGAAAGGGCCAAAAAAGAAAAAGAGAGAAAATATTAGCAAATGATCAAATATTACTATGTACACTTAAAGAACCATTTGGGGAAATTAATATGGAACATTTTCAGAACTTGCCATTCTAAACTGAGAGCACATTCTGGAACAGCATGATTGGTAGGACTGACAACCACTCAGGACTCTAGGGGAAATTTCCTAGTGCCCTACTTAGAAAGTAAAGAAATTATTCCATAGATCTTTAAACATTTGAAAAGATAAAGCATCTTAGAAGTCCAAAAGAAGGAAACTCATACCAGCTCAGCTTTCATTAGAAGAATTTTTATTTTTACTATCCCTGAGCTCCAAAAGAAATTTCCTATGAGATTTTTACTAATGAGACATTGAATCATCTAATGCATTTTTATAGAAAATACAGAGGCCTTTTGTGTATGGCTGCTGCTAAAGTCAACTCTCGGTAAAAACTTAAAGCTGAATTCTCAATAAAAATTTAACATTAACAGGAAGTAAAAATGTTGTAGATAGAATTTATAGCTATTTAATGATCTCCTGTTCACCCTTTTATGCCCAAGTGTTTCATCAGCAATTTTGAGAAAAGACTAAAGGATTTTTATAAAGGCAACAGCTGAGGTGGAGCCAGTAGATAAATTTAGTGAGAGAGTCCAGACATATATATATATATATATATATAAATCTCAATAGCATGGCACAATAGGCCTAACTGACTAAGAATCTACATGAAGTCCTGCTCCTATACCCAGAAAACTAGCTACCTGTGTGCAGAATTAAGGAGAAATGGCTAAACATCATAACCTGGAAAAAAACACGAAAGGCCTGGGGGATTTCCATTGCTTTTAAAAAAATATGAGGCAAGTTGGGAAAAACAAAAACATGTTAATGTGATTGTAGGGGCCATGACTACAAATATTGTACACAGATATGCGATATTAGTCCAGTTCTTGAATATGCTGTTCAGCTCATAGCTCATTGGGCTGCCCAATCCTGGTTCCATCCTTATAAAGAATAATAAGCTAGTTCAGAAATTGGCAGTCCTGCACAATAACAAGTTAAAGAAGGACTTGAGCTATTAGGATAGAGAAGAAAACATTAAGGGAATGATGTCTGTCTTCAGTCTTACTGCACTGTGTGAGGCACCAGATGGCAGAGCCAAGACCAGTGGATAAGTCACAAGGAAGGCAGATTTCAGCTTATTAGAACAGAGCTTTTAAACACTTAGAGCTCTATAAACAGAGAAAGACTGAAGTCATGAAATAGTATGTGTCCCTCATTTGATGTTCTAATCAGAGATTATATGGCCATGGCAAGAATATTTCAAAATTTCTGCACTGTGTAGAGCTAGAACAGGCGGCTCAAAGTTCATTCTAACCCTGTGAATCTGATTCTGTGTCTTCAGATGAGATTTTTGTCTATACTGCCATATAATCCTACACATACATACACATTCACACATCTCCTTATACAGGTAAGCAGGCTCCACCTAGTCTCTATGCACACAACTGAGACATTTTTCCTGAACAGAAAATAGAAAAAGTATAAATGTACTACAATATAATACCTATTATATTTTTATTTACTTAGTATTTTAAAAGGAGAATGTCTAAAAGAATCAACCTGCGTATGATATCCTACTGGCACTGAGGGAAAAAAAAGCAGGTGGGAAGCAGGAAGCAAAGGACAAAAAGATAAAATAAAATCACAAGAACTTTAAAAATATGTCATAGAGAAAGGAGGCCTTCATTAGCATCTGAAATCCAAGCATACTTTTAGAGCATCATTGGTAAGAAATTTGTAGTTAAATCCACCCAGCTCTTTAGTTAATCCTAAATAAAGCCATCAATACAGTGTATGCACAGTGCTAATTGATTTTTAAGCATAACAGATGAATGAGCAAAAATTTAGGGGTGGAACAGAAAAAATTGTTTTCCTGGAATCTTGCCTTTTTCCATTTTATAAATATCTATGCCAAGTTAAGAGTGAGTACTCACAGCTCAAATTATTTATGCAGGAAAACTGTCAGGTGTGGAATGAGGATGGAAAAAAAAAAAAAAAAAAAAACCCACCAAAAAGTTAAAACTCTGGATTTGAAGCTACAGCACATCAAGAGGAAATGTGTATTAAAATCTTATTTCTCTGTTATCTAAACAAAGAGAAAACACAAATAAAAAGATTTTTAAATTGCTCTGAAAAACTAAGATTTCTGTGAGAATGTAAGCTCCATTTTAAAATGCCTGCCCCATTGTCAGCAGTAATTTTTTGTTCATTGCCTTGTATTTAGTCTTAGAACAGTCCCTGAAATGCAATGGAAGCACCATATGCATTTAAAAACAAACAAAAAAGCTCAAGGCACCACTGTAAGCACTTTACATAATGACTTTATGATTTCCCCATAATTATCTTTTGCAGTAGGTGCTATTATTAGCGCTCTCATTTTACAGATGAGGAAACTGAGGAAGAGAGAGACCAAGTAACTTGTCCAAGGTCACTCAGCTTCTGAATGACAGCTGGGAATTCTTACCCAGGCATCTGGCCTTATTCATGATAATTGAAGGGTAAATAAGCATCTTAGTCATTGCTCAATTAGTATTTTCATATATGGTATAGGAAAGATCAAGGAGTCTTCATCTTTATGGGTTTACATCAGAGCATTTTTTTTTTTTTTTTTTTGGCAGGGAGAGGGTCTATTGCTTTTCTCAAATTCTCCTAAGAACCTATGACCTTAAAAAAATTGACAACTTAAAAATAGTCACATCTTGAGAGAAGGAGATTACTTGAATTCAAATGGCTCAGAATACGGAAAGGGAATGGAGATTTGAACTGTCCCATACCTGCCTAACTCATCACTCCACTTTGTGCCAGGAATCAGAGTGTGGCCTGAACAGCCTGTGTAGCGCTTGATGCACACTCATTCTGCACATCCCCTTGACTTAGAGGGGAGCACAGGCAGACAGAAAGAGGGGGAGGCAGAGCCTCAGCCTGGGCTGCCCCAGAGGCCTGGGCTGAGCAGCCCCACCTCAGTTCTAGGCTAAGGCCTCAAGTAAAGCAATTCTCACATCCTCTCTCTGCCTAGCAGTCATTTACAGATTCTTTACCTTTTTTGGTATCTGAGTGGGAGATTTTGGGGTTATAATTAAATAGAAGTGAAGACTGGAATTTCAGGTAAATGTTGAACATTTTTGTTCATTGAATGGCAACATGTGATACTCCATTCACAATTGTGAAGGAGCCAAGACAAGTACAATTAGGTTGTTTTATTGCATTCACCTTTGGAATGGCACAAACAAGGCAGGGTAATCCAGTATATTTTGCAACACTAAGCAGGTGGCATTGAGTCCCCTTCATTCTGAGTTGGCTCATGACAAGAGTCCTTTTCATTTAGAAAGTGGAACAGGGAGGTATTGTGCTATCCTAAAAGAACAAGTAACAAGAGCTCACCAGCCAAAAGTGCTACATTTTCACCCTGCCCTGTGATTTCAGCAGCCTGAATGAGCACCAGGTATATTACTTCTCAGATTAACTCTCAGACACTGTCAGACCAACTTGATCTTTGAGCAATACCCTGAGATTGTGTTGATAAAATTGATTGAAAATGTATCAGTGGAAGAACACACTCACATCTAGCCAGTTTAAAAGCATACATCTCCAGGTGCTAGAGAGCATTCCCACACATGGGGTCAGACTGACCTAAATCTCCATTTAGATGGCTGATAGTAGATAGTTGACTACTCAATTTAGTTGCTGGTACAGTCTTTTTCATAGTTAATGCCATCATTTTCTTACCATTTGTTGTTTGTGTTTTCCTCACATACTATTTTCACAATGTTTTTTGTTCATTCAACAATTATTTGTAGAGTAGTTATTTTGTGATAGCTGAGCTAAGCCCTGGATATATATGGTAAACAAAGCAGAAAAAGTTACAATTCTCTTGGAACTTTCTGCCTGGTAGAAGGAAAGAAATGATGATGATAATAATAAATATATGCATATACGTGTATATGTAACTGGTGATATATCCACCCTGTGTCCCACCTTAAAGGAAATTCCCCCAGTGATTCAGTTCAGTTCTAATTGGTCAAATAATGAGGTTTTTACTCCTCATGTGTATTAAGTTTCTTATGGCTGTTGTGACAAATTACCACAAATTGGGCTTAAACAATAATTTAAAAAAATGTTGTCTCTTGGCTCTGGAGGACAGAAGTCAGAAATCAGCTAGAGAGACCCACACCCAAGGTGGGCGGGACTGTGCTCCCTCCAAAGGCTCCGGAGGAGACTCCCTTTCTCGCTTCTTCCAGCCACTGGCGGCAGCCTGCACTCCTTGACTCGCGGCTGCCTCAGATCTCTGCTTCCATGGGAACATTATTTTCTCTTCTGTGTGAAATGTTCCTCTACTTCCCCCTTGTGGGCACCCTTGTGCTTGCATTTAGGGCCCACCAAGATAATGCAGAATAATATCCCCAAAGCCTTAACTTAATCACGTCCGCAAAGACCCCTTTTCCACCTAAGGCAACAATGACAGTTCCAGGGAATAAGATTTGATGTCTTTGAGGGCCATTATCCAGCATTCTAAATATGTTTAGATCCTAAATCCAGAGGGTTTACACGTGTCCAGGACAAGGTACAGGGACCAGTTGTCCACAGATCCTGGGCACGTTCCTTCTTCCCTCCCACTTTGGGTACTTTTATCTTTTATACTCAATGAAGCCCCTCCGCCTCATTGCCTTCCTTCTCCCAGCCCCAAACCCTGTCAAGTCTTTGGATGGTGAAAAAATTTCTTTCTACCTTACAGCTAAAGGCGTTCAACTAATTTTGAGTCTTTTTTTTTTTACTCCAGGTGTGGGCTGAAGGAAGCAATGGGGGAGGGGAAATACACAAAGAATACAGATTTATACTTCAGGATATAACACTGTCTTATAATTAAATGCTATGACAAGTGTTAAAGGGGAAGAGGGGGAAGAAAATAAGGCGTCATGTAAGAGAATAAGAGGCACTATCATAACAGTGTTAGGTGTGGCCTTTCTGAGTGGTGACATTGAACCTGAGGCTGGGGGCCAGGAAGCGTCAGTCATCATCAGAAGAAAGAGCTTGTGAGAAGGTTCCCAGATAAGGAAGTTCATGACTTGCCTTGTAGGAGCAGCTGAATGAAGAACAGAATGACGGGGCATGGAGAGTCGGATAAGATAGCTAAAGAGTTGGTTGGGAGCCAGATGTGGCCCAGTAATAGAGGAGCTACAAAAATGTCTATTTTGTTTTAAGTACAAAAAGAATGTTAATTTGTCCAACTTTTAAATCTAGTGAAACATTAAGGATTTTTAATATCTTTATGACTGTTCATTAAGAAAGAAAAAATGTTTTTCTCTGTTTCAGTAATTATTATTTCCATATTATAGTTTTTATGTACTCTAAACCATGTCACTAAGTTCTGACAATAACTTTAAGAGCCATTTTGTCTTTCTATTGATACGTTTAATAGACATTGGAAAACTTTTACTTTATTGTCAATTGATATTTTCAACATTTCAAGTGAAACATTGCATTTTGAGTTCTTCTAGTTTCTGAGAAATTTAAGATATTCTAACCATAATATGATCAGTTACTTTCTGAGACTTGTTTCATTGTCCATAAAGAAGAAATAACAATACCTTTTTCAAAGTGCTGCTCTGCAGATTAATTGAAAGTATGTGAAAGTATCTGCCACTATGATGGGTACTATTTAAAAATACAATATCTGTTCATTACTATTAACTATTTACAATATTATTATTATTAGTAACTGTTAATATAAATTCCTTTCCTTTAAGGCAGTGTTTCCCAAACTTTTGACATATGTGTACCCCTTCTATAATTTTCATAACGCAGAGTACCCCTCGTACTCATGAGAATGTAGAATTAGGTGCAGCTAAGCACGGTGCAGTGCATATCCCCACCAAACTCTGGTGCAACACATACCCCCATCAAACTCTTCCGTACCCCTGGAGGTATGTGTACCACACTTTGGGAAACACTGCTTTAAGGCATATAATATCCTCCTTCTATCTTATAATTTCTGCAAATAGACTTCTCATTCTCAACTCAGACTAAGTTATTTCCTCTGCTCTCTGTTTAACTTCAGGAGACAGTAAAAGTCCCCCATTGACTATTCTAATTCAGAAGCAGTTGAATAAGTGTATCAGAAGGTATTGACAAGTCCTTGGATTTTTTTGGCATCTGTACATCTGCAAAACTGATGTAACACCTGTTCTATCTATTTTTCAGAACAGGATAAAAGAGAGAATTAATAAGTATAACACTGGTAAAAATAAGACCTTATCTTTCCACAAAACACATTCTACATTCCTGTATATTATTATTAAACAGCTTTTTTTTTTTTTTCAAATTACACTCCTAGACGGGTCTTCCCATATTTACTATTGTGACGAAGTCTCAATGTACAAAAGCAGAAAATCTAAGTACTGCAGGAGTCATCCTTTTAATATTGGCTGAGAAATATGTGGTTCATCTCAGGAGAACACAGAGTTTGCCTTTAAATTCTGTGCTAGGTCAAGTTCTGGCACCATTCATGCTTTGTGGAACTTACCAAACCCAATTACCAGTTACTGTTTCAACCATTGGTGGAGAATCCAATTTCTATTGCCGAAAAGCTATGCTTTATGATTCATTTGATGCCTAACTTGATTGAGAAGGATCATTCTTCTAACTTATTCAGCGTAAGTCTATGGACTGCCAGCACCCACCTAAAGCAGAGCTAGAATGCTGTTAATTTGCCACAGCTGCATAAGTATACCTAATGAGATGCAAACCAAATTAAACCTGAGTGCACACAGTTATTTATAATGGATTTCGATCTCATTGTCTTCTTGATTTTTCTCAAAGAAGAAAAGAGACTAATACAAAGGGAACTCAAAGAATATGTCATAAATTAAGTGTGCTTCCTGGGAGATTCATGTGAGATGCTCAAATTCTAACTCAGCTGTAAGGAGCTGGGCCTCAGATGTGGGAAATGCAGCAAGAGAGTTTTGACAGTTGTGGTGCAGAACCTCACCTTTCTTAGTTCAGCCAAAGGGTATGGCCAGTTTTAAGAAGTTTTATAGTACTGATACAAGCTAACATTTCAATTTAAGAATATACACACATATATATTGATAATAAAGATTCAAATGAATAAAAACATCTTATTTAAAAATAATAAAATCTAAATCAAAGTTTAAAAAAGAAAAAGAAGTTGCTTGGTATGTCATTTTGAACCACAGGCCTTCCCTTCTTTGTTTGCTCTGTTTTCTTGTAGACACAGAGTCATTAGTTGGTAATTTTTATCACTGTCGACTTTACTCTAAAATGTAAATTGCATTGCATCCCTCCAGTGGCACCTAAACTCTTCTCAAAAGAAGTTATATTTCTATTCCTATGTGTGTGACTATTATCACCAACTTAAGTTTTAAGAATGTAACTTTCAATACAAACCCAGGCGGAGACTTTACCTCCTGGAGTTAAAATATGCATATGTTGTCATTATTTTTTTTAATTTAAATAACTGCAAAGCTGGTATGTACCAGATTTGATCTCCTAGCACTTGCTTAGCCTGGTTCATCACCCAGTACCAGAATCTCAGCTTAGCTTTTTCATTCTGAGCTCATTGCCACATATGCACTAGTCATTATATATTCAGAAATATAATAAGATGTGATATTAGAAAAGTTGAGGATCCTATACTGTCTCTGAGCTTCTACCTCTGAGAGCCAAGGAAGCATGAGGTTGCACTGAATTTGGTTTTGCAAAGGGCTCTCCTTGAAGTAGGAGTGATAAATTTGACTACTGTGTGTCCAAGAGGAGATTATACAAAACAGTGGAGATGACCAAGTGGAAATTGTGTCCATCTCAACAGGAAATGCTGCCTTGCAGTTCCAGCCAGTTATTGCCATTGGGGAAAGCCAACAGTGTTGGCAGATAATTCAGAATTAAAAACAACAACAACAACAACAACAACACAAAAACCTTCTGGTTTTATAGAAGATATGTAGGACCTTATAGGTTAAATACTAGAATACTAGTCACCCAGGGAAATGTCAGAGTGAGTGGGTTGGTGCAAAAATACTTCAGGCAGCCAGGACCGGTTTGGCTCAGTGGGTAGAGCGTCAGCCTGGGGACTGAAGGGTCCCGGGTTCGATTCCGGTCAAGGGCATGTACCTTGGTTGTGGGCACATCCCCAGTGGGGGGTGCGCAAGAGGCAGCAAAATCAATCTCTCATTGATTTTTCTAACTCTCTATCCCTCTCTCTTTCTCTCTGGGAAAAATCAATAAAATATATATTTTTAAAAAATACTGCAGGCAATGTGGACCACATATGCAGTAACATATAAGAAACAGCATGCTGTGTGACTGACGAGTAAGGCAAGGTGTGGTGGTATGGGGGTTGGAGAGGACAAGTCCCCTAAGCCATGAGAAGGAGCCTGGTCTTGCCATTTGAAGGTGGCAGGAAGTGGCAAACAGAGCATGGCTTTGTTCTGGCGAGTGCCAGCTTGCGGGAGTGTAGAAGTGGGGGAAATCTGAAGGTGGCAAGACCAACTAGGATTCTCTTAGGAGTTTTGGAGGGATGTGGTGAAGGTCTTAACTGGAAGTAGAGGAATTGGGATGGAGAGAAAGGTAGAGATTTGAAAACTATTTTGGAGGTAATAATGGATTGGATGTGAGATAAAGGAAAGGGAACTACCAGGGCAGTCCTCTGGTTGTATTGACTATAATTTGACATATTTTGCGTGTTCCACAAAGAAGCCCAATCATTTTAAACCTGTGTGGTCTTTAATAAATGTATTTATTTGTTAAGGAAAACCATCAAGCATTTAATTATGTGCAACTTTTAGTAGGCATGTTTGATTATTCTATGAATAAAACAAATCAAATAGAATCATCAAGAATTCCTGTTATGCACTTGTAATTATTTGTAGGTATGCAGGGACTTGAGTCAGATTTGTAACTTGAACTACCCTTGTTGGATTACTTGACCTAGATCTCCGCATGGTTTTTTGCTTTCTCTAACAGATTAGCTGCAGTTATCCCACCAATCCCTTAGTTTGAGAGATATTAAATAGGACAGAAAGCTGACAAAGTATTCATCAATGACCTGTGTGTCTATAGCATATATGTGTCCAAACAAGTTTAGATAACATTTCCTGGACACAGTCTTCATATTCACTTATTCATTCAAAGAGTATTTACTAAGCATCTATAGCATACCAGGCACTATTTGAAGCAGTCAGGATTCTCTGATAGAGAAAAATAAAAGAAAGATTTTTTTTTTTCCTCCATGGAGTCTATATTTCAGTAGGGTAGATAAGCAATAAGCAAAACAAATAAGTAAATACATTTACTGTTAGATGAAAGCAACTACTAAAGAAGAGAGAGAGAGAGAGAGAGAGAGAGAGAGAGAGAGAGAGAGAGAGAGAGAGAGAGAGAGAGAGAGAGTAAGGAGGACAGGAAGTGCTAGGGTATGAAAGTGCCTCGGCAGAGTAGCCTAAGTGAGAAGGTGATATTTGCAGAGTGGATTAAAGGAGGTAAGGGGGTGAGCCACCTGAGTATCTAGGGAAGAATATTCCACCCAGAGGAAAGAGTCCAAGTCTTTGGATGGAAAAGCATTGGCAGATTGGAGCAGCAACAAGGAAGCTAGACATGAGTGAAGTGATAGAACCTCACTGAAAAAAAAATTAAAGTTTTTGCTAATTAAAAAATTACAACTTTTAAAAGTATATTTTCTACTTAAGTTACATTAAAATGGTACTTAAAAATCCCCACACACTAGGTTTAGAAATAAAGGAGGCAGTTCCCCAAATGTAGTGAAAAATTGATAACAAAAGGAACAGAAAAGCTTTGTGTTGACAGCTAACAGGCCAGGCATTTGCTAAGCATTGAGTGCACTGGGCCATTTAATTCTCACAGATTAATTCCTTGTGATTTATGGAGTTGGAGGAGTAATTTGGTAACTTCTCTAAAATTTAGTTTCCACATTGCTAAGAGATGGTATTAGTGTAAGGTGACCAGATTTTAACATTGGTAAAGCGGGACACCATTGACAAGGGGGGGGGGGGGGTAATTCTTGATTAAAAATTTGGTCTATATGGAGCCATAAAAATTTTCATAGAATGCAAAAATAGTATTATAATATATATATTTTTAATTTCAACGTAAGTACAATTTACAAATAGAATAAATAAAAAAATATGTATAGTCATAAGTGTCACTTCTGCTAAATTCAAGAAAATTTATGTATTTATGAAATAAATAAATAAATTACATACCTAAATTATCTGAATAGCTGATTTGTAATAACATCACTTATTTAACTAGCTTACTAGCACGCAGTACGATGTGTATCATCTGAGAGACAGTTACAAAACGTTTTGTCGTTGCCAATCCCAAAAAATGCCATTGTTCATTAAGTCCAAACAATGGTGGTCAAATTCTAATAACTGATCAACAATGCGAACTTTGATAAGCAGTTCTCTATAATCAGTTCTCAACAATTATTTGTTATTATTAAAGTTTAACATTATAAAATTAACAAAAATAATGTAAAACTCATATTCTGGGTAAATAGCCCACATGGCCGCCTAAAACCGTATATTCCCTTCCCATTTTCCCGCCGTTCCCTAGCTTGTCGTGCATTCTTTCCAAAAATCGGGACTGTTTTAAAACTCTGTGGGACAAATTATTAAAAATCGGGACTGTCTTGCCAAAAGCGGGCCATCTGGTTACCTTATATTAGTGGCTACCTTGTTTTTATGATACAACATAGTTCCTAACACATAATGAGTACTAAATTAGTGTTGTGATAATTGCTGCTAGTTCAATATTGAGGCGTCAGTCATTGGTTTAAACAAGAGATCATTGTTTTCTCAGAGAAGTGATAACATAGTTAAGTCACAAATTTGTTGAACAAACATTAACCAATCCATAAAACTTAAATACTTATTTAGTCATTCATTTGGCAAAATATTATTGGGCCTGGCATTTAGTCACTAATGAAATAAAAAATAAATACCCCTGATTTCATGCTTATAGGAATGGGGAGGAAATAGGCAAGGAAGATCATCTTTACAACATGAGTTATTTTATAAATAATGAAAAGTATGGGGTTCCCTCAGAGATCATAGAAGGGGCATTAACCCCACGTATAGGAGGGTCAGAGGCAGTTCCTCCTGTGGAGAAAAGCTCATAGACAAGTAGGTATTGGGTAGGTGATTGGAGGCGGTGGGGGTTGTGGGGTGTGTGTGTGTGAAAGCGCCATATTAAGAGAGAACAATATTAGAGTCCAGACACTAGAGAAAATTGCCTATTTTTCTGTTTGGAGAGTTCAGAGTTGGCAAATGAGGCTGAAAATATAAGCAGGGGCCAGCTTGTAATGAGGCACACTGAGCTGAAGACTTTGAGCTGTATCTGAGCAATACGGGGACTCAGAAGGATTTTAAGCAGGAGAGTGACTTGATCAATTTGCATTTTAGGATGAATGCTGTGATTGCTATGTGAAGAGTGGCTTAGAAGGGGCCAGAATTAGAGGCAAGGAAACCAATGTTACATCTACAAGAGGGAACAGACCTCATTATGCAGGGAATAGCTGTTTGTTTGTTATAACACACTTATTTGGGGGAAAGGAAGGAGAGGATCAATAATAACCATAGCAAAGGAGAAATAGAAAGCCAACTCATTTCATTTTCAAAAACATTGCTAAGTTGACTGATTTGTAACTCTCTCTGGGATTTTACATCTATCAAGCTCAAAGCCACTGCAGTTTTTCATCTTAGGAGCCATTAGATGAAAAGCAAAAATTTAAACATGCAGTATTTCATATTCTTTCTCCTCATTTCCCAGTCGGACACGATTCCGTGAAAGCCTGGATTTATAGCACTCACACTTAAGCATGAATGATCTACCAGGCCATATCACTGTAATGCTAGCACGGATAAATAAACAGCCGAGGAGAAATGGAAGGAAAAAAAAGTCAGGTTTCAACACATGAAGGGTATCAGGAGAAAAAGCATTCCATCCCGGTCCTTTCAGCAGAATTTTGGTGGCAACCCCTTATAATTGGGGCTTTGAAGCAGCCGCAGACCACATTTCTACATTCATAATTTCTGAGGTAATGCAGCTAAAAATGCCTTCATTTCACCTAAATTACCCAGGCAGTTTCAGTCACAGTTGATTTTTGCTCAAATCACTTCAAAGCTGTGTCTCAAAGCACTTTTTAAAGAAAATTACCCTTTGCCTCACCTTCTCTAGTTTGTGCTAAGATGACGTTTCCTCTCATTTTCATTTTCCTCATGATGCTGCTGCACTAATGCATTAAAACAAATTGTACCAGAAGAATGGGACTGTGTGCTTAGGAGATCTGTAAATAATTCCTGGTGAAAAGACTGAAATCAGATTGAAAAGTCCCTTTAACCACTCACCTCTACTTCCCTCCACTCCGGTTCCTTTCTCTCCCCCACGAAGAACCACTCTGGTGATGTGCTTTCATCCACACATTTCCCTTGCACCCAAGTGCACATGCACACTAGCACACAAACGTACAGTTATTTTATTAATTCCTAGAGATAAACTCACGATACTGCAGTGGCTAAAAGGCCAAACTTGGAAACCGTTAATGGTGTGCCCATTGAAATTTACTGTGCCTCATTTTCCTCATCTACAAAAATGGAGTGATAACATCACACCCCCCACCAGGTTGTTAGGGAGTGTAACTATTTTGATAAATTTAACGCAGATAAGAGAATATCTCAAGGAATTTTAGTTGTTGTTATCATCATCATCATCATTATTATATGTAAGTTGTAAAACAAATACTAGTACACCAATGTTTTATTTTTTTCTTTATTGATTAAGGTATTACATATGTATCCATATCCCCCCATTATTCCCTCTACACCAGTATTTTCATATACTTACTTTATGACTTGCTTTCTTAGTTAGAAGTACTTCTTGGATATTGAGCCTTGTCAGTACTTACTTAGGTTTTGCAATCTGCTGTATTGTATTCTACAGTATGTGGATACCCTAGTTAATTTAAACATTCTCCTACTAATAGATATTGAGTTTGTTACCCAATTGGTTTTTTTGTGATTATGAACATGGCCTCAATGAAAATTTTTATGTATATGAATAACTATTTTGGGTGGTGAATACTGCTATGTGGTAAGCTAGGTTAAGAGGATATGGGCATAAATTCATTTAGCAGATACTGCCAAATTGACCTCCAATTTCTACTTCCATATTGTATTTCCATACATGTCTCACCAAATCCTTGACAATGCATTACCATTTTTTTTAAGTAAATGACTCATTTTTATTTCATTCTGGTTTTCATTTGCACCTCCCTAACTAAAGGTAAAGTTGATCTTCTTTTACCTGAGGACTTTGTGAGAGGGAACTAGTGATACAAAATCCTGGCAGGAATGACCCAGGCATGTACAATACCAAACAACAACAACAACAGCAACAAAACCTCCAGTGTGATTTTGGATATGAATGAGAGAGAAAGTCTTAGAAAATGAAGTTGGAAAGGCAGGTTGGGAATAGAGAGTGAAGGTCTTGTAGGCCATTATAAGGTATTAGCACTTTATTTTGGGCAGGAAAATTACATATTAGAGGATATGTGCTATTTGGAGTGAACTTGGAATGATGAGGAGGGGGTGGTGGTGGTTTACTAAGACAGCAGAATGGAGAAAGGATTTTCTAGGCTAAGGGAATAAACAAAGTATGGCCCCAGCTGGTTGGTTCAGTTTGTTGGAGCTTCTTCATATACCACAAAGGTTGCGAGTTAAATTCCCATTCAGGGCACATACCTAGGTTGTGGGTTCAATGCCTGGTTGGGATATTTAGGGGAGAGAACCAATCAATGTTTCGTTTCTCTTCTCTCTCTCTCTCTCTCTCTCTCTCTCTCTCTCTCTCTCTCTCTCTCTCTCTCTCTCTCTCTCTCTCAAAATCAATAAGCATATCCTTGAGTGAGGATAAAAAACACACAAATAAAAAATAATGGAAAAATGAAGATATGTGGTAAAATCAAAAGCATGGTGTTGCTCATATACTGCAGATAAATATAAAAAACAGAATTGGGTCTGCCTCTTTAAGGAAGTGTTGCATGCTATAGGGCATTTTCATTTTCATTTTTGGAAAATGAGGGTACCTGCATTTACTGGGTGCATTCTGTGAGCCAGATTTAGTCTTAGTACTTTACATAAGGATTTCGTTAAATCTTAAAGGACATCTTTGAAGAAAATGTTACTCCACTGTTTAGTATGTGTGGTGACAGGTTCAGGGAGATGAAATAACTTGTCCTGAATCATACAGTTGGTGACCTTCGGGCATAAGCCTCAAAGCCAGGTTTCCCTGAACTAATAAGTGCTGGGAGGGACTATGCACTGTGCTGGGTCCAGGGGAGAAACAACCAAGGCAGCGCAGTCCCACCAATGACAGCATCCACCACAGCTGTGTCCTTTCCACTCTTCACTGTATTATAAACCAGAGCTTGGAGAGACTGTGTGATTCAGACCAAAATCTGGAGAAGAGTTTATATGAGAGAGAGAGAAGCTAATGGTTATTCTATAACCCAGACAAGAAATTGCAAGGATGAGATGGTAAATGGGGGTTAACTATCAACCTGAATGATAACTAATTGGCGGTGGATTGAAGGGAGAGTTACTAAAAAAGATGTCCTTGGGGTATTAAGTTGGGGTGACTGCATGGCTGGTGATAGCAGGAACCAGAAAGAAGGGGAGACAAGAATCTTTGGAGGTTAGATCCAGTTAGAGCATTTTAAATAAGTAAGTTTTATTTGGTAGACCTACCTGAAAATCTTAGCACAAGTCACTGGTGACAAATTCCAAGAATATTCTGTGGGTGTGCTTTTAATTGGAAAAGTCATTTATATGCAGAGCCTGAGAGATATTGGACAGTAAGCCTGATTTTTTTTTTTTTTTTTTAGTTTCCACTTCTCCTGCAAGAAGGCATCTGCATTGTTGAGTCTCTGCAATTTAATTAGATGTTATAGCTATGATTAACGTGTTTTATTTATGGCACACAGCAACATAAAGGTCCCGGCTGCTTTACACTTCACAGGAAATATATTTGACAGCTCTGGACTCAGACAACTTCTATTTAGATTTGTGGGGTTTCTCCCATCTGCTATATATTAATTGAGCA